CAAATCCCTCAGTACTTCTAGTTCTCCAAACACAAGTATATTGAAACTTGGATTTGCAGCATGGGTGTATTTGTAAGTCTGAGTGCTTCTGTTTTGAAGTCAAAAGGAGCAATGTGCACTTATAAATACACATTAGGTAAGTGCACATCAGGTCTTAATTCACACAAATGGATTAAAGATATATGGCTCCTGTCATGTAAACCACTGGCTGCTTAACCTTGCATATATAAGATAATGGTTCCGCTTGCACCTTGTTACCTTTGCTCTGAATTTAAAGCAGTTGTCAGAAGCTGGATGAAAGACTGTTAAATGGAGATTGTGTTTTATGTCCAGTCCATCAAAGGTGCGTAGCATAATGGAGTAGGGAGATGGAGCGCTGAAGAGCAGAATGGAGTGATTTGGAGTTTCACATTAGTGCTACCTTAAGTTACATACTGTAGCTTTAATTATCTTTATTTCTCCAACAGTGTACCAGCTACAGCAGGAGGCCCCGAGACCAAAGAGGATCACGTGTCCTCAAGAGGTCAGTATATCTGTAAATCTGTTTGAGGCTGAAATTATTAGCGCTATATGTTGAAGTGAAGCTGGAAACAGCAGTTATTTTGTATCTTACCTACCTTAAAAGTTAATTGCCTATCAAAATAGTCACTGAATGGTTGTATTATTTCAGCACTATGTGTATGATCACAGTTGACACAAACACAAAATGTTATGTAAATTAAACCTAGCAACAAAGCTACTGTAAGTGAGAACCAACCTGGTTGTGTTCAGTACTTTTTATGGTTTTAGTTTTAAACAGCTTTAAATGTGGGCACCTTAGCAAACCGGACTATCTACTGGCCCCATTCATTTCTTTTTAAATGCAAGAGTTTTTTTTGCCCTTGTTTTAAAAACTAGCCTGATGGACTGCAGCCACTCGGCATTTTGCAAACTTGGTTCATTGAGAAATGACTGAGCCTGGCAGCTGGAAGCCAGACTCCTCAGTAACCAATATTGTGCGACTGGCTGCTTCTGGAAACTCCCACACCTCATGCGCAACTGTGTAAACTTAGTGGTATGCTATGTTAGATTAAGCATGTTTTTCTTTTTTGTAAATGTACTTAGGAACATATTTTGGTCAGAAATCTGTTCCCCATTACTTACATTGGAAGCGCTGTAAGGAGGGATCTCTTAATGCTGGAGGAGGAATAATTAGAGAAAGCAAAAACCTGTTTCAGTTCAGATGGGCACCTGACCATTGTTTAAACACAGACTTGAAATATTTAAACAGCAAGAAGTGCAGTGCCTCAATGCAAGCAGTGGGAACACTTTAGATGGGCTGCACAGACTTTATCCCCTCAGCTCTGTGAATAAAGCTAATGGAACACATTACTGTACTTGTTACTGCACCTCCTGAGAGAGCTGTCAGTCTTCTATTGTAGAGCTGACCAGAAATGTTGCATGCCTTATCCTGTTTTGCCACACTGTGATGAGCAAAGTAAAAGGTGTGGGAGGGCTATGTGAGATTAGTGGCTACCCATCAGTTCTAAGTACAACATGACGGTTGACATATTACCACAGTGTTCCCAGAAACCCACTCTAATCATAACTGTGAATTTTAAGATTTTAGACCAACATCCTAGTGGTGTTTCCTGCTACCTTTTATAGAAAGAGAGAAGTAAATTCTTAAATTCATTATTCTTTGTAAAATATGTCATAAAAGCAACTTGTTATTATATAGAATCGTCATGCCAATGTTTGGCATTGTTTTATATCATTTTCAGGATGAAAAATGCTCTTTTCTACTGGCCATCTATCACTAGCAGTTTTCACTGACTGCTTCTAATTCATCTCCACACACACTATGATTTGGCTTTACGGTTTGATAGCTGCAAAGAAACACGGGGGCACAAATGGAGATAATCTATTCTGTGGTGTAGAGTCCTTTATCTTTCACACAGGCTGCAAGAGCAATTTGTGGAGCAATTTAAGTGAGCTCTCATATGATTCTGTATCAGCCAATATGTCTTCTTCTGGGTTACAGATGGAGAGCAGACCCAAATATTATGGCCGAGAGTGAGTGTAACTTCATCACTGTTATCTTTTTATTTATTTATTTATTTTATTGTGGAGACAATGGTTTTATCTTTAATTATTGCCTGGTATCAGATGTGGTTAAGGTTTAAGATGGTGTATGGTTATGTCTTTGCTCTGGTAAAATGCTCAGGATAAATCTCTTTGTGTGAGGATAAAGTGTAATTGCAGGATGAGTTACATACTGAATCTTTTTTTTTTTTTCCCAGATTTCATGGCGTGATCTCTCGAGAGTATGCGGATGAGTTGCTGGCGGGAGCAGAGGGTGCATACCTTATCAGAGAGAGCCAAAGACAGCCAGGGACACACACCTTGGCCTTGAGGTACCAACACAATCAGTGTGCAACACAAAATCGACTGTGTTTATTTTTACTCATCCACTCACCAGATTCAACCTCAGCTCATCCACATCTTTGTCCATGTGTCTCGACCAAGGTTTGGGCAGCAGACCCTCAACTACAGGTTGTTCTATGATGGGAAGCACTTTGTCGGGGAGAAGAGGTTTGAGTCGGTCCATGACCTGGTGACAGACGCCCTTATCACTCTCTACATCGAGACCAAGGCAGCAGAGTATATCGCCAAAATGACCACTAACCCCATCTACGAGCATCTTGGTTACACCTCACTACTCAAGGACAAGACGGTGCACAGGCTGGGCCGCGGACACACTGAACCACGCAGGGTCACCTTCCAGAGAGACGAAAGGGTGAGTTTTATGACAGCTCTTGTCATCAGGGGTGTTTACAAAGGCTTCGGAAAGACTTCTTTTTCACCTTTTGCACACAATTTTAAGTGGATATAATCACCATTTTTGCCCATCATTCTACACTCAGTAACATGCAGTGACAAAGTAAAAACATGATTTTAGATTTATTTTTTTGCTCATTTATTAAAAAGTTGAAATCTTTAATTTATAGAATTATTCAGACCCTTTGCTGTAGCACTCCAGACTCTGGTCAGGGGCATCCTGTTTGCTTTGATTATGCTTAGCATAGGTCTAGAACTTAATCTGAGTCCACCTGTGGCAAACTGAATTGATTAGACACACGGTTGTCGGATTGTCAGCGAGAGGCGGAAAAGTGCATACATGCGCACAAAGAGAGTGTGAGGACCAGCAGCTGCTGTATTATCTACAGCAATATTGGTCACACAGCCGTACAGGGAATCAGAAGCATCTCGAAACACTCCTTCTCATCTTATAGTCGACATGCTCCAGTACGTCAGAAAAGCTGTCTTTACACGCAACCGTTCTGCACAGCTACAGCTATTACAGCATTGCAATTCAAGCTCACACCTGTAAAGGCTTATTGTTATGCTGTGATGTCTCCATCGTCAATAAGCAAAAATGAATTCATAACAGTGATATCAGCAGTTTACAGAATAATTTAGGTCTAAAATTAAAAACAGGAACATTGACATCAAAGGCAAATGAAATGAAATAAAATTCATTAGGTCAACATAAATGCTATGTTGAAAAATAAACTTTATGAACTGAAATGTGTGTGATTGGCTGAAAATAATGCAAATTGTTGAAAATGGCATATTCTTAAAATGGGCTGTTTTGCATTGTTTTTCATTTCCACTTCACCATTTCACACCTACTAAAACTGTGTGCATGCATGTTCTGAAGTATGCGTGCGGAGCACACACCTTCCCACACACTCTGTGTTTATACATACCAGTTTATGTGTAGGAAAAGGTGCCCGCATGGCTTTTGTGTGTTCACGTCGTTTATGCAATCTGAATAATTTAAAGGGTCAGGAAAGGCCTTCGTCAGGAAGGTGACAGGGAACCAGAACTCCAGAAGTCCTCAGCAATGATGGGAGAACCCGTGGAAAGGATGACTACCTCATCACGCTGTCAGGGGGTTTCTCTGAAGCTGGGGCACGTAGGTCAGGGGGTTTCTCTGAAGCTGGGGCATGTAGACTGGTCAGAACTGAGGGAAGGATGAATACAGCCCAATACAGGGAGGTTCTTGAGTAAAACCTGTTCCAGAGTGCATTCTACAGGAGACTGGTGCGATGGTTCACCTTTCAGCATGACAATGGCCTGTAGCATCCAGTAAAGACAATGCTGGAGTGGCTTCAGGACAAGTCTCTGAGCGTCACTGAGTGGCCCAGCCAAAGCTCAGACTTAAACCCCCATAGAACATCTGTGGAGAGACCTGAAGATGGCTGTTCATGCTTTACATCCAGTCTGACAGTGCATGAGAGGATCTGCCAGGAAGAATAGAGTAAACCGTCCAAATCCAGGTGTGAGAGACTTAACCAAGAGGAGCTTCTACAAAGTGCTCAGTTAATGGTCTGAATATTTTTGTAAGCAGAGATTTCAATTTTTGATTTTTAATGAATTTGCAAAAGAATTCCTAATAATCACTTAGTCATTTAACCAAATTGTTGATTGCAGAGGAATAATTTGGAAATACACTGGAAAAAGATTCTTAGATTTATTCATTTTTCAAGCAACATTGTGGAATCTTTTTCTGGCTCCTGCTTCTAGTGTGAGGATTTTATTTTCTTTGTTTTATATCAGTTTGCTTTATATATAGTTGTTTTGTTTTATACTAAAATCGTTGGGTTTCAGACCATTGAGCTATGTGGAAAACTGTGGACATTTTGCAGTATTTCATAGACTAAGTGATAATTAAAAAATGGTCTACTAATTGATTATGAAAGTAGTCATTAGTTACAGCCCTAATTCACAGGCAGTTATTTCAAAGTACTCCGTGTATATTAGTAAAAAAAAACACAAGCTTGAAATGGAACTTGAGGTCCATTTAGAACTGTTTTCATTTTGTCGTTAATATTTTTTAATTGACCTATCCAAAGACTTAAGTTACATTCAAGCCTTTAAAAAGCCATTCATATTAATAATTATTTAACATTAGATTAGTTTCTTTTAGTTTTTTGTGTGTGTGTGTGTGTGTGTGTGTGTGTGTCCCTTGACACGTATTGTATAATCCCATAATTCTTTTCTACATTTCCACAACACTTACTGTTCAGTGGAGTGAGAGTGTTTCTGAGAGGACACTTTGTCCTGTGAGTGAGCCATACATTATTCCTGTGGCCCCTGGGTATGTTCACTGCTGCCATGCCTCATTGCCTCCTCTGAAAAGTAAAGATGACCAAGGGGACTGGGACGTTGCTCTGCCTGCCATGCATATCAGATACACTGATTTTGAGTGAGACACTTTGCAGGATATGTTCATTGGTACTCCGGCTGTTGTCAGATTGTAGTCTGAATGATTTATCAACGAGGAATGTCCGTTTTCTTACTAGAGAAAAGTCCCTCCACTAGGTGGCAGTCTTACCTCGTTTCCTCATCTCCTTTTTTGTACTGCATTGTCTTTTTTCTTATCCTTTTTTTTTCTTTTGAAATATCATGAGCTGCATGCTTTGTGTCTCTCAGCTTAAAGACAATTTATTACAATGGGGTTTCTTTGTCTCGAGTATGTCAACCTATAGTCAGCCAGTGGCTTGACACATGACAGCCCTGGCAGCAGGGACATCATTTGCAGTGTTAAGTCCTCAGTTTGGTTTTGATAACCTGAGACACGAGCCATTAATGCCAGCACCTCTGACCTAATGCCTACCAGTCAATCAGCAGTCTGACTTTCTGTGGTTTTAAATAAGCATAGCAGTACAGATGCCTCTTTCAACCCCTGGAAAGCCTCTGGAGCACAGGCCTGGCTTCAGAAGTGCCCCAAAACATACAGACTAACCTCTGTTTGCTTAACACACAGTGCTTTATTGAACAGTGTTGCTCTGTTTGATTAGCAGGTATTATGTTAATTTTGTTGCACGCAGATTTCAGTAACTTCTCGTTGGCAAATAAATCTGCAGCATGTCTCTAGTTGGTTAGATGTCAGATTTGTCAGTTATGTAAAACTCAGTTCATGTTCGTCCTGCCAAGTCTGATACATGACGATGTGAGTCCGTGACAGCTGTGATGATGGCAGATTGTGTCAGTCAGCATGTGAAAACCACCCACAAGTCATTTCCCAAAGAAAAACACTTTATGTCTGCTCGAATATTATGTGTCTAAGAAGTAGGGACGTGGCTTTAACGACTTGAATCTGTGGTCTGGCCTTCATTTTTATCAATTACACAACCATGCACTGAGACATTACAGCCACAGTAGCTTCACTGTATAGCCAGCATTCACATGTACTATATTTACTCCCCATCACATTGATGCCTCCAAATTGCCATGACTGCAAATTCTTGTGTAATTAAAAAAACTCCCAGAGGATGAGAGGGGGGTTATTGACGCAACCTGTAGATCAACCATACGAGTTTCCTTCTTTTTGTATGTGAAGGAATTTGCTCGGTGGCCAAAACGTCTGCCACATTCCTCTTGATGTTCCCCACTCAGTGGAGCTCTCGGAAGGCTGGTTTGCCTGCGTGGCCCGAGACTTTCAAAGAAATGGTCATGTTGTTTGTTAGGATAATTACCTGTTTTCTCTCTAGAGTTCCTTGCTATAAAAATGCTAATATACAGTAGCTATTTCCATCGTTAGCTGTAATATGTAAAAATGGTACTCACAGCAGTGGAAGTGTAGGCTGCATTTCCAGGCTTTTTGAAGTATTGTTGTTTTTTTTCTCCTCAGAAAATTAGGTGAATTGTTAGTGATCCTATTGCAGACAAAAGCAGCACTTCCCTTGATTTATAAAATTAATGAATGAATTTTTTTATTTTTTCGAATAATGGTCAGTGTCTTTAACTGCTATACCCTCCACAGTATGTCTCCGTTTCTGTTAGAGATGTTGTTGTTTAGCTTGTGGGTAGTTGTATCCTGCTGTCTTTCTATGTCAGTGCCCATTGTGCTATTTTCCCATGATTCTATGTACTCACTCCGCTGTGCACTCACAAAGCCTTGCTGGAATAAAAGAGCCCAGCCACTGAAAAGAAAGCAGAGCTTGTTGTGTGACCACCTTTTGTGTCCCATCTTCCAAGCTTTGCTTTTAAAGACAAGAAGCCATCTGCCTGGAGACAAAGAGTGCGGCCCTCGTCTCCCTCCCTCCCACCTCTCGAGGCCAAAATATCTCAGAGTGGTCTATTCTTCATCTGTCGACTCAGACGTAGCTGTAGAGCTGAATTGTATGGTGTGGTATGTGTAGGTCTTTTCAAAGAATGTCACCCACAGTGACAAATATCTTCACCTGTCCTGCCACTCTTGCGGCTATCAGCCAGTTAACTGTTACTCGCAGACGTCAGAGACACAAAAGCAATGTTTTTATTTTGCTTCTGTGTCTCTAAGCTGCCAGTTCTGTTGTTTTATCTCAGCTTTACAGTTGCCCTTTGGCTCTTTATCATCACAGATCCAGTGCTTGCCAGCTTTCTGACCTTTTCTTCCTGTTTAATAAATCAGTTTATTTTTTTGTGATGTCTTCCCATGTTCGGGCTTAGCTCTTATGTAAAGTAGCTGTTTGACATATCATGTCGTGTAGTATGATGGATTGCTGTCAGTGATATGTGCCTCCCTCATATTGTAGCTTCTTGACTAGTTAGAAGTGCAGCAAGCCATGTTGCGCTGTTTACTGGTTGTTTACAAGTGAAGCTAATAGGGACAAATTCAGCACAAACATTGTTGTAGACCTGTAAATGAGGCTGCTATGGGATTTTACTTAGATTTGGGCACTGCAGGATTAGTCCCTGTGTAAGGATTATTTCAGTAATCCCTCCCAATCCCCATTGATGGTCTGGCTCTGCTGGCCCTCTGAGACAGATGATTGTGATTTGCGTGAGTAGTCTGCAGTCATGGTGTCTGTAAGATCCAGTCTGGTCGGCAGTGTGGGTAATTCCATGAGGCGACTGACATAGCTGGAGGTCAAAATCAGTATGAATTATGATGGCACAGCCTCGGCTCTGTCAGGCTAGTGAGTCTTGGGTCTATCTTTGAGCAGGCAAGCGACCCAGTAAGGAGACCCAGTGCTGCTGGCAGTGGAGTGTTATCTCCAGTTAAGTGAAGAGGAGTGTGTCCGGAAGCCAGTGGGCTAATGGGAGAGTGCGCTGTGCTATAAAAAGGGCATCTGCACTATTGATCCTGCTTTTGAGCTGTTGAGCTGTGTGAAGTGGTCCTGACAGCACCACCCGCCCTTACTCTCAACCTCGTGGCCCCTCCCCATCAGGGACCCTGTTTTCTCTCTCTTTCCTTTCTTGGCGTGTGAAAGAAGGCCATTGTGTGAGGCACGCTCCTGCCCTCAGGCCGCCCACTACCGGTCCTCTTCCCCCGGCTCGTCTTACTTGCTGCTGCCGCTGGATTCGGACCAGATGCAGAGTCAACCCCGTGCTGGCTGTCATCAGTTGCCCTCCTGGGTCAGAGGGGAGTGGAGCATAGCTGCTGCCTCTGCACTGGGCTGTTGCCAGCAGCGTCTGCTGCACAGCGCACACAACTCCCCTCCACACCTTTCCTCAGAAGAGATGGAGAGTCTCTGGGAACCCAGCCAATCAAGCATGGAGGCTGAAGAGAACAGAGGAGGTTTCGGAGGGGAGCTGATAACCCACAAGTCTAAAAGACAGGAGCGAAAGCGTCAGGAGCTGCTGGCCTTGGCTCTGGGAGTCAAAGTGGGGAGCACAGGGGCTCTTCTGTGGAAGCCTATTAAACTGTTGGCCTCGTGTCCACAGATCTCTTCACCTCTGGTGCGAAGGAGTGCCTTGAAAGACACCACGGAGAAGCAGTGCTCCTATGAGAAGATCCACAACTTCAAGGTGAGCAGTTTTTGTGTTTAACACAAAGAATGGAGGGAGAGTCAAAACAAAACTTAGATGGTTTTAGAGCAGCTGTTCATGATTCACTTTCTCTGCTGATGATGTTAACATCCTAAAATAATAAGTTTTCAGTAGTGTTCTATTAGCTCTTAGTTTTCTTTAGACAGATGTTTTTGCCCATTTCAGATGTTTGCTTGTGGCATCATAGATCATAGTGTGTGTTATTGGTTTGATGAGAACATGGGGCTGACACCCATATGCACGGAGAGGAACTAATGAATACACTATACCTCAACCCATTAACAGCAGAGCGCATTGATTTGTATTGATCATAAAGCTTTTAGGCATTAATTTTTGTTTTAGGCTTCTGTATTTTTAAAACGCTGCCTACTCTTAGACTATACTGTAAGTGCATAATACATTGTGTTTAAAGTAGAATGGTTCTTTAAATATACAACAGACAATGTGAAGACACTTTGCCTCTGGGTACCTCTTCATTCCTGCAATTGTATCTTCAGTTTCAGTTAACAGACAGGTCATAATGACACCAAGCTTTTTCTGTGCTTCCCCTTTGAAAAAGAACAAAACCCTTCCACTCACCACCTGCCATATGGCCTCTTCACTCATCAGTCTACAACTACCTATTCAAAGTACAAGTACTGTATTTGTGTATGCAGGTGTGGCTCCCTTTGCCATCCTATCTGTGTTTTAGGGTGCACAGTGGGTGTACATCAGTTATTTTGACTCGGCTTGCCTCCGCACTTGCCTGCATGTACCCGGTTGCCCAAGAGCAGATGCCGGACGCACTACAGTAAATCCTTTAATCTGCCTTGTATATACAAATGCTCTCATTTGGCAAGTGGTCCCGTCCAGTGTAGCTTGGGATCGCAGTGTAATCTTTATTCAGTACATGAAAGGGTTTGGACTGGCTTGCAATATGTGATATGAGTTTGTGTGTGTGTGTGTGTGTGTGTGTGTGTGTGTATATAACTATTTCATCTGGAACTAACAGGTACATACCTTTCGAGGGCCACACTGGTGTGAGTACTGTGCCAACTTCATGTGGGGCCTCATTGCCCAGGGTGTCCGCTGCTCAGGTAACTATACACTCTTACATCAAAACGGCCCTGCTCTGTCTGTGTGAAACAAGTCATGCTGTCGTGTTCTTTGGAAAGCTTGTGTAGACACTTTGGTATAATCTCAACTATAGCCCCTATCACTCTTTTTGAACCTTCTTCTCCTCAAGAATGTGCTAAATGAAACCCCTTATAATGCAGTGTGCTAACAGAATTCATATCCAAATGAAAGTTATGTTTCTCTGCCAGTAGAATATCCTAGAATTAAAGTATGTAAAAGTCTTAACTCTGATAAAATACAGGTCAATGTGTTGGAATTGTTGACTAAATATAGCAGCACAACTAAGTGGGCGATTGGATATTAGTGAGATTTTCCTGGTCACAAGATTCATTCATTGCACAGACACAGTCCTGAACGTGGTGTGCACTTTCCTGGACTTTGTTGCTTTATCCTTCAACAGAGTGTGTGTTGTTGAGACATTTGCCGTGCTGTCAAGCCAGCGGCAAACACTGGTATCATCAGACACCTCATGTGCTGTGGGAAACCGGATAGACTTCTTTGTCCTCTCTCACTCACTGTCTAAGCTCTGTCTTTTTTCTTATCTCCTGTTACACTTTCTGTGTGAGCACTGCCTGAGTGCGAGGAACTCAATCTGCAGACCAGCGTTAACGTCGCTCAGGCTGTAAAAACGTCTCCACGATGAATTATTTCAGACACCTCATCTACAACTATAGCTCTTTCAAAACTTTCATTCCAGGTTGTGCTGCCACACAAACAGGGGTACTTCTCACACAATCTCTGCTCTTGCCAGCTGTCCAGCACGCCCCATGTGACTAAAACTACAAGAACCCCCACCTATCCTGCTATGTGTGCTGTTATCTTCCTTTGGTGCAGTGCACGGAGACAACTTAGGCTGACGGTGCAGTTTATCACTGACTCTGGGAAACCTCTTCAAACCGCTGTCTTATCCCTGCTGTGATGGATGTGTAATCATCTCTCTCTCTCTCTCTGTTTATCCCACTTTCGCTCTGCTAGACTGTGGGTTGAATGTACACAAACAGTGCTCCAAACTGGTTCCCAGCGACTGCCAGCCTGACCTGCGCAGGATAAAGAAAGTGTTTAGCTGTGACCTCACTACACTTGTCAAAGCTCACAACACAACGCGCCCCATGGTGGTGGACATGTGTATTCGCGAGATAGAGCTGAGAGGTAAAATGCAATTAATCAGTCATTACATTAAGACCCATCAGTCGCATCCGAGAAAAGAAAGCAGATCATAAGTTTGCAAAGATTACTAATGTCATTCATCCCTTTATCAGAGCAGATGCCTAAATTTGTCTGACAGAGTGGAATGGGCAGGGGGGAAGATTGTAACAGGAAAACGCATCTGAGTGACTCAGACAAGCGTTCCAATTTTCTGTTGCAGGTATGAAATCTGAAGGTCTCTATCGAGTGCCTGGCTTCTCAGAGCACATAGAGGACGTGAGGCTCTCCTTCGACCGAGGTTTGTTGACATCAGGATTTTTTGCCCTGGGATCTACTGTAGGCCTCTGAGGTTTTAGTTCAAAATTTTAAGCTTGTTTCACCTGCAGTATAGCACAAAATAGCACTGTTTGTTATTTTGGGACATACAGTCACATCCAGCTTTGATTTGTAGTTGTATGCAAATGTGCTGTCACTTGGAAGCAACACATTTTCTGTTTCCTGTCAGCAGATGGTGAAAAGGTGGATATCGGTGCCAATGCCTATGCAGACATCAACATCGTTGCCGGTGCTTTGAAGCTCTACTTAAGGGACCTTCCCATTCCTGTCATTACATTTGACTTGTACTCCAAATTTATTCAAGCTGCAAGTAAGGGCTCCTTTCTAAGCAATTCCATGCTGTTACTGCATTGGTGCTTTGCATTGCTCTGAGAGTAATCCTATACTGATGTGATGTAGAAATTCCAAATCCTGAATCCAGACTGGAGGCCATCCACGAAGCTTTGTTGCAGCTCCCCCCGGCCCACTACGAGACCCTGCGATACCTGATGGCTCACCTCAAGAGGTTAGTTCACACACATCGTTTATATTTTCTGTTATATCTATAAATCCAATGAAAAGACTAACAGTAAATTGATCCAACTAATGTCCTCTGTGTCAAAAAGCTATTATAAACACAAATTGCAGTGACTGACATGTTCTTTGATTGGTTTATTTCAAGTCAGTCCCAAATACACTATCCTATTGCCAGAAAGTCTTTTTGAAAGGGTTTTTGAAAATAAGATAATTATATGCAAGACTCATGAATTTAATATTCCAGTAGTCACTTATTTTTCTTTTATACATTGTCTGGTTGTTCTGTTGTATGACTTTTTTTATTTGGATTGCATTGTCTGAAACTTCTAATGCTGCCATCTTGGCCAGGTCTTCCTTGAAAAACAAGTTGCTAACCTCAGTGGGATTTGCCTGGTTAAATACAGTAGATACATGATTCTGTTCTTCTTACAGACTAGTTATCTTCTTATATTTTACAGGGTGACAATGTTCGAAAAGGACAATTTAATGAATGCTGAGAACCTGGGGATTGTCTTTGGTCCAACACTTATGCAGCCACCAGAGCAGAATGCCTTGACAACCCTGAATGACATGAGACAACAGAAACTAGTGGTGCAGCTTATGATAGAGCATGAGGATGTCTTATTCTAAGGACGTAGGCATGCTGGCCAGTTAACAAAACAGGAGAGTTATTTATTCTGTCAAAGAGGAAATTGAAGCCACCTTGATTCTAGTGAAGTTTCAGAACTTTTTTTTTTTCTCGCATGACTTTTAGTTGGAGTTGGTTTAGTGTTGACATTGTCTTGTTACTGTAAGTTTGGGGTTTCCATACTCTGCCAAGAGCGTTGTTTTTATATTAGCAAAGGATCCAATATTTTTAACTTCCTCGTCTGCTGTTCCCTCCTCTCATTCATTTGAAGACTGTCACTACCTGGTGTAGACTCAGTCATGATGACAGCACTGTGTGAAATCTGCCCCAGTGAGGGACTGGTGCTGTGGAAGCCAAGCCTCAAAGCAGCAGCTGATTTACCATTCCCACATGACGTGTGCATATTTAGATTTTTGTGGGAAAGCTGGTTAAACTTTTAACCAGACAATGTGGATCACTTCATTGTAGATCAAATCTGATCATGTAATTATAAAAATCTTATTTTATATTTTGTGTGTACTAAGAGTTGAGACAACTAAGCGCTCATGAAGCACTTTTTTTGCAACAAGTGTAAAGATTTATTTTGTAAAGATGTTTATTTTTGTCTTTTACTCTGCATCATCTTCTGTCACGATAATAATATATATACTGTAGAGAATGATGTTTGTTGAATTTATGTCTAAATACAAAACTGTTCACAAGAGAAAAGAAGAAGAGTGACTATTTGTGGATCTACCTTTTCCATAGTTGGCGTTATGCGGGCGGATTAAATGCTGGTCACTGATTCACATCATTTTGCAGACTGCACTACTTAAGCAAAGCATTTCCTTACAGATGTTGGTTACAAGTTTTGTAGTAGTTAATTTTAAATGCAGTGAATGTGGATATTTTTTAAGTGAAATATAAGATTATGGCCCTTATTTCACTCTTTCTAATGTCATTACCAGCACTCAGGGCTGCAGTAGTTGCCATTTACTTCACAGTGCCATAGACTTTAAGTGATACTGAAGCTGTACCGAGCATGTTTCTGTCATAGTTTGTTTGATGTGATTAGTTGAATCCTTTCTTCAAATCCATTTCATTGCAAAGTATTTTTGTGACATTGCAATTAAAAATGTAACTTATCAAATATTTATAAAGAGTGTAAAACTTCAGGTTAAAATAATCTGGCCAGGAAAGGCACAGGTGTAACTTTAAATTGGGCCACTTGATGCAACTGAGCTATTGTTAATAAAATTTGTTTCACCTATGCTTCATAAGTCAAAATAGCTGCTGTGGGAAAAAAAAACCTGCTGCTCTTTTCAAAATGTTGCTTTTCAGTATCTCTGAACATGATTTCACCACACTGTGATGTCTGTGGATGCGGTTCAATCTGAAGATAGGCCCAGCTCATTGCCGGTGCTGATTTGAAGCACACTGAATCACGGGTATGCAATTAACATTTTTATATTTTGACAGTTATTTCCACATCCTTCCTAGCTGTTTTCCCCAGAATGCCTTATCTCTTATTCAGTCTCTGTCTTGCTATATAACCCTCCCACTCATCCAGTTTTACCTGTAGGTGGTCAGCAGGGTGGAATTTTGCCAGATACCATGTTAACTCCACAAACAGTGGTGCTCTTTGTGAGAGGAGACATGGTTGCACCATGGTGTTCATGCTCTGGCTCACTAGTCCAGTGGTAGTCGCTGTCTCTGAAATGTGTTATCACTGGCGTGTCTCAGCCTACTTCAGAATGTACAGTAATTTTAGCAAAGCAAAGAAAGCATTATTTCTCACATCGCTTTCTTTATTCTTGACAGAATTACAATACAGTTGGCTGTAAAGTTGGTTACTAAAATGTGTAACCAACAAAACTGAAATGTACCAGCTGTCTCTATGCTACAGCATTACTCTGTGGTGCAGTTTGCACACACCTACTGTATGTACTGGAGCAACTGTAACTCTTATACACTGTACTGTAACATGTCATGGTGACAGATGGTTTGTTGGTAGCCTTTACTGTTTGGGAGGCATGGTTTAGATTGCATCCTCTTCTGACAAATTAAGCTGCAAGGCTTGCACTACTGTTTATTTGCTGTAAGTGACTGACCCCTACTGCTATTTCCTCACGACTTACTCTTGATAACAAGTAGTGGTATATTTGACTCCATGCTTATTTTGCTAATTTGATCTGCCATAAACAGTATGGCAACAGGTTTGAGCCCACTTGTGGTAAACTGTGTGGGGGGTGGGGTGGGTTAAAGGTATGATAAAGAACAACAGTACCCCCTAGTGACTAATGAAGAGAACCAGATAAAATATGTATATAATCCAGCTCAACTGAGTGCTCAGAGCATACACAAGTTCAATTTTCATCTGATGATTGTTCTGACAACTAACAAGTCCCAGTTATTTAAAAAATACTTATTTTAAGACACCTGTAGTAACACTATCAGTGCATGTAAAATAGAATGAAACATATATCAATTTTAAGATCATATTCAAGTTCAGCCATAGGTAAGACAATGTTAAAATGCAGTGTAAAAACTCCAGCTCTTGGAAGAGGTCCTTATAAAACAGCCAGGAACTCATTCACAATTCTTCTATTAATGTTATTGTTTTGGAGGAAATCCAAGACACTGTGGTAGTTAAAAAAAACAAACATAAAAAGTCCTTTAGAGCTCATCATGTTGGTAGGTGAATTCCCTCACAGATATAAAACCATCTTTGTCTTCGTCTTCATTTTTGAAGATGTCATCTACCATCACTTCATGATGTGTGTCATTAGGTGAGTATCCATGTTTCTGAAATTCTTTCTTCAGATACTCTTTCACCTGTAGTGCAGACAAAAGCATAATGGTTTTCAGAAGTACTGTAACATCAAAATATACACTCATTCATAATACAAGAGCATAAAACCTGTTGCTTAAAAAGCAGTTAGAAGAAAACCATACCTCCTCTTTGGAGAGCTTCCAGTCATCATTGAGATCCATCTCCCTGAAAGACTCGTGTGACCTGGGACCATTTCGGATCTCCATGAGCTCAATGTCAAAAATTAGGGTACTACCTGGAGGGATCTTGCCTGTAAACAAACACATGTAAATGAAGCACATTTATGGTGAAACACAGAATGAAGGGGTAACTTTTCAACAAACAGTATTCTTCCAATCACAAATTTCTGAATACAGATTGTCTAGGTTACTCTACCTTTTCCTTCCTTGCCATACGCCAGGGATGGTGGGATTGTCAGCTTCCTCCGTTCTCCAGTGCACATGTTCTGCAGACCCTTATCCCAGCCCTTTAGCACCTCTTGGATCCCAAGAGTGAACCATACTGGACTGTTGTCCCCGTGTTTGCGGCTGCCAAGTCAAAAAACAAACTTTTTTTTTTATTATAACAAGCTGTTACCTTACTGTGTATTATTTTTCCTGCGCAGTTTGGCAGAACTGCACAGCAGTATCTGCAGAAATATTACAATCTATCAGTAGAAGTTACCTGGAATGAAACATGGTGCCATTACTCTCCAGAAATCCCTCGTAATGAACAAGAAGCATGTCTCCATATTTTGACTTGCGGTAACATATTAAAGGATTATGTAGAACTTCAATTTTGACTTCAGGCTCGGGCAATTTCCTTCCACTGACAAACAGTGAGGGGAATAGCAAACAAATTGAAAAAAGAATCATTTCGAGAGGCAATAGCTCACTTACAAATTGCATAAAAAGCTAATTTAAACATTTCCACGAAGTACAGTGAGCTTCCTAAAACTGATGGAAGGAATACCAAGTACGTGGCACAAACCTTCCATGAACACAATGTTCAGTTATCTGCCTCCTCCCTCTATAATTGGAGGATTCGTTCTAAAGTCCCGCCCTATATGTTCTTTTACTTTATTGGTGTTTCTATATGTCAATCACTATAAATCACACCCACAAAACTTAAATCTCACTGACGTAAGTGGGAGGAACTTCATTAGCGTCTCTCGTGATAGTTTAGAGCTTTATTCATGAAAAACTTTGCGCACTTTTAGCTACGTAGCTGATATGCAACGCCAGGGATGTTACTCTGTTAACCACACTGGGGGCCGGTGGAGGCGCTGAAATCAGCTGTGCATCGTATCTTATTATGCTAAACAAGTAATGAACGGCCAAAACACATGATAAACAATGGAAGGAATGCTATATAAGTGGACCAATTACATAAGTGGTAAGTTAATCATACGGTCGTTGTATTTTTTTCGGTCATAATGCTGGTATTTAGGCAGCTAGCTAGCACGACAACGTCACAGCGCACCGAGTTTAAGAGGCAACGAGCAAGCTAACGCTAGCCACAGTCAGCTTTCTTTCGGGTCTTATACACCTCTGTAGATTAACTAGCTTCTCTTCCACTCCACGAAATGAGTCATTAAACGAATTAGAAGTTAGCCTTATTTATGAAATCTTAACAAGTAGCCCTAGGTAATTTATGGAGATCCCACGATCTGTCATTATAATCTCTTAACTGATTAGTTGTTGCTAACGTAACGTAACGTCAAGGGTTAACTCCAAGTTTATATCGGCTTTTACCAATTTTCAGTATTGGAAATTTAAATTCTCATCTAAACAGCGATGTCAAAGCAGTGATCTAAAATTTCAAATGCATTTTTCAGGTTGGCAACCTCGCTGGTTTGTGCTCGATGGAGGGATTTTGTCTTATTATGATTCACAAGAAGATGCCTGGAAAGGTTGCAAGGGCAGCATTAAAATTTCCGTTTGCGAAATTCAGGGTCTGTATAGCTCACTTTGTCCTGTGTTTCATTCTACAACTGTGTGTAAAAATGTCTAACAGCCTGTGTCTTTATTTGCCGTTGCGTTGCATTAGTTCATTCCTCTGACTCGACACGAGTCGACCTGACCATACCAGGAGAGCAGCACTTTTACCTCAGAGCCATCAATGCAGCAGAAAGGCAGAAATGGCTGGTGGCACTGGGGACAGCCAAAGCTTGCCTTACAGACAACCGAACAAAAAGAGAGAAAGGTATTTCGATAGTATTTAAGCCAAATTTGACGTAGATTCCACTTATACAGCAGTAGGTTACTGTAAAATATTGTAAACATCTTCCCAAACTTTGGCTCATTTTCTGTGACAGAGCTCCAGGAGAACACAGAGGCTCTGAAAACTAAGATGTCAGAGCTCAGATTGTACTGTGACCTTCTTCTCCAACAAGTAAACAAAATCAAGGAGAATGGTGAGCTAGGAGCGACAGCAGAGGTAAGATTAGGGTTTGGATGAGTCGATGAAATAAGAGACGCTTCTGCTATTGCTATGAAACTGCTGTATAGGATAGCCCTTTTACAACTGGCAGGTTTGCTGCATGCTTAAACTTAATAATAGACCAGAGAAGTAGGAAATATTTTTTTAAAGCACATTAAAAAAAAATCATGGCTTTATAGATTTAATGCTGGGATATGTGTGTGTTTGTGCCCCTGTTTCCAGGCAGGTATAGACACCGGAAACATGGTGAAGTCTACATGCACTACTTTCCTTAAAACTCTAGAGGAATGCATGCAGATAGCAAATCGTACTTTTAGTCCAGATACGGCAACACAGAGTACACTAGGATCACCTCCAGTCGCAGCCATCAAACCCCAGAAGGTACATTTCTGTCAACAACTCATGATTAACTAGACAGTGTAATAACAATCTAGTAAAATTGGTCTGTAACTGTTGTCTAAAATATGTGTAATCTAATGTTTTTTTCTGCCACCAGATTAAACCAGTCATTCATTTAAACCAGACCCTTGGAGAAAAGTAGGTTGCTGGTTTTTTTTTTGTTTGTTTTTGTTTTGTAATTACTTGTCACATAGATGGTCAAAGTAGCACTCAGCAAAGTGAAGCCTAAATTAAATGCACTTTCAAGGGTTTTAATATTTAGCTTTTTTTGCTAAGAATGTGTTCATTCTTTGCGGCCAGGCACAGTTGCTAATTACATATTTTCTAAAGAAAAGTTTGAAAATACAGTGCCCTCAAATTTATTTCAGATGGAAAGACGTGGCTGAACCCTCAGGAGAGGCAAATGCACATGACAACCAGAGCATTGACTCTGGAACAGAAGAACCAGATCGGCTGGAACACCGGTTTTCCCAGACAGGTAATTCAGGCGTCCCAACCACTTGTGTTACATGCTGCTGACTTCCGTAACATGAAAACCAAGAGTACATTCCATAAAGGTGAGACCGGTTTGTTGTGTGTACGTCATCTGAACTGACATGAATAGATTTTTGCACTGTAGTGAGCGTAGAGTGATGGAGATCTGGTTATATTATTGCATTTCCCTCAGCAGTAACAAAACCTTTACACAAGGGAAGCTACTGCTGGTGATGGAAAATAATAATAGTGTGCCATCTTACGGTTGCTGCTCGATGTTTTCTCACAATGTGCAGTACCACATTACACAAAGTACAATGCCTGAATCACAGTTGGGCATGGTCACAGCTGAAACCAGTCACACCTCACCTCGTCCAGCTGTGATGTTGTTGTCATACTTTCAACCTATAGAGGTCAGCGCAGCAATATTATACTAGATACAAAATGTAGTGTGGAGCTGATCTTGATGTATGTTGCATAATTTTACTAAAACAATATATGAAGGATGAGTGTGAGGTTTGCATTAGAGTGGATTAAGAAGGAGAGTGACAAGATCTCCACTGAGTCTGTAAGGACCCTTTTCACAGTAATGGTGGATCATAGAGATGTTGAATAGTTCCAACATTAGGAGCAGTGCATTCACTTGGCTGCTATCTTTTAAAGTAAAAAGAAATCAATAGTAATAATTATACATAATTAAAACATCTATACATGTTTTACAAGCTTGTGACTCTCTCAAATATTGTCCCATTATTTGATTAGGTACCTAGCTAAGTGAGCTGAACTATCTACAACAGCAGAACAGAATTGGTTTTCAAGGTTGTTCAAGTCATTAAAAGCTGTAATTTGTTTAGAAATTCCACTGCTCCCTACAGAAAACAATGAATCTGAATAGACTGGAACTATTTGAAGCTGCATGAGCCATGTGACTCACTACCGTTTTTGATCCCTTGTGTCGCAACTCTTCTATCATAAGGGTTCTGCACCCAGTCTGATGAAAACTAGGCCTTAGACTTTAATAGATATCTTGACAGAACCCTTTTTCCATATGCTTGTTTATTTCTGAATGTCTCTGTTTGTCTGTGGTATCATGCAGGCAATTATGCAGCCGACGGCAAGAGCTCACGAATCGATTCTACTCTACACACTTACCTGAATACTCGTGATATTAAACACTATGAACAACCAGCAGAGGGAGATGAGGAAAATAAAGCAGATGATCAAAAGGAAACCAAACAAGACCAGAAGCACAAATTAGGCCAAAGTCAAGAGCATGAGGACAACAGGGAAGTGAGAGCTGTGCAGCTTCAGCACCAGCAGGAAGGTGTTCCAGACCGAGAGAAGGTTCAGCATGAAGGCAAGGTGTCCAGAGAGTCAACAGAGCCTGAAGACACAGAGCAGGTGGACACTTTCTTCAGCGTAATGAGTCACAGGTATGACAACAGTATTGTGGAAGGTCATATCCTTTAGAACTCATTAGTTACTGTATGGTCGTCTGTGATAGTTCACTAATCCAGTATTAGAATAAACCAGTTCAAGTTACATGTAGTATTTGAGGCACTGTATTTGTGCTACCGTTTTTGACTAAAATGCACAGTTACTTAGTTTGTGGGAATATATTGTACTATTGTGTTGCACAGAATAAATTACTAACAGTTTTGGAACATTTTAACTGACTACTTTTCAAGATGTCATAAGTGTTTTATATCAGTGTGTTCTCTCTTGATCATATGACAC